AGATTATCTGCTTGATAAAGTTATCGGTTTAGATGAATACCACTATTGTTTATAAGTTCTTTGTGTACACACTTTTATTTTATTTTATCTTGTATATAAATCACTTTAGGCATAAATGCAGTTGGGCTCCATATCTCAAATTATAAACAAAAATATTGGAATCGATAGAGATGATTGAGCTGATTATAACGGTATACTTCTTTTTTTGGGCAAACAGCAACAACAAGAATTATCAAAGGTTAAAGTTCAAAATAAGCAATTTTTGAAATCAAGGCAGAAAGGTGTTCTCTGCAAAAGGTGTTCAGTGCCTTTTCTTCGCAACACAGAAAGATAATTCTGCGTTGTGAGGGTTATAATCTCTCAAGTGCGGCCGAACGCCGCCTACACAGAAACTTGTGGTCTCTGCAAAAGGGTTTTTTTTATAATTATTTTACATTGATTCAATTTTTGTAATAGCTATACAACATATATAAAGTCCGTATACCAAATTAAAGGGAATCAAATTTCCTATTAAATGAGATCAAGATTTTCAAGATCCATCTATTCGTTTTTAAGAACTCTTGGTTTAAAACATTGCTATTTTGAACTTTAACCTTTGATAAGTTTTGTTGTTGTTGTTTGCAAAAAAGAAGTATACCGTTATACTCAGCTCAATCATCTCTATCGATTCCAATTTTTTTTTTTAGATCTGGAGCCCAACTGCATATGTTCCTCACTTTAATTAACCTTTTATTGACTTGTAAATTACATTGAATTGCACCCATGGTGTAATGAACTGAAGGTGGTGCATTCCCGAAACCGCTACTTTGGTTTTGCCGACTTTGACGTTTATGGCAATACGTAAACAAAATTTTCATTTATAAACAAGTGCAAATGTATTGCAAACGTATTGTGTACTTTCAAGTGAAATATCGAAGTAAGTCGTGCGTTGTGAAGTAAAAATCGTTTTTTTGTAATAAAAATGTCGTGTGGTGTGTTGAATTGCAGCAGCCGTAGGGGCAAAGGCCACAAATGCAGTTTTTTTTTTGTTTCCCCGCGACGACGCCTTGGCCAGAAAGTGGGTAGAGTTCTGCTGGCAGCAGAAGCCATAAGGCCGGTCCACATAGAACTTTCGCGTTGGCTTTGGCGTTGGTTTGACAGAACGTACGTTAAAAGTATGCTTGCTACAATGAACGCTTGGCAGCGAATGCTTGGGCCACTAAATTATCATACTAACGACAGATAAATTAATATTTCATATCAATAATTGCATTAAAAACAATATTTCTTGCCCTCACTTGATTAAAAAGGAAAATATTTCACATAATTTTATTTATTTGCAACAGCTGACGAGCGACACACTCGAAAAGTTGAGAGTTGACCATGTTGTTGTTGTTGTAGCGGCTACAACAACCCCGCCCAGATCGGTTGGTATCTCAGTCGTTGTCGTCAAGTTCCACTAACGGCAACCCTAGGAAGCGTGCAGCTTCTGTGGGATCTGTCCACAGGGACAGGGCCGTTAGGGTTGTCGGGTTTTCCGGGCATGCGAAGAGATGGTTCGAGTCATGTGGGGTCTCTCCGCATGCCGGACATTCGTTCGGCACATCCTCATTCAGCCTACTCAGGTAGGAGTTTAACCTGCTGCAGTAGCCGGAGCGAAGTTGAGCGAGTGTAGTGCGTGTCTCCCGAGGCAGATGAAGCTCTGTCTCGTCAATGTCCGGGGGTGGTATGCCTAGAACGGCATTCACAGGTCTAGAGTCTACATAACTCGACACTGAGTCCCTGTGAATGCCGTTCAGGGCCTGTCTGTACGCTGTCGGGTCCAGAGGTTGCTTGATGAACCTCTGGACTTCGTCCGTCAGTTCATATAGATGCCTCCTGACGTGCCTTGGCGAGGGCTCCTCTGCAAGCAGCTGTCTGTTTGGGTGGCCACTTCTGTGGCTCCCGATCAGGAACTTCTTGCAGAGCATTATGTTGTGCTCCTTAACTGGGAGCATTTGCGCCTCGACGTGCAAGTGATGTTCTGGCGACATCAGGAGGCATCCCGTCGCTGTCCTAAGTGCCGTATTTTGTCCCGTCTGTAGCTTCGTCCACTGCGTCCTACTAGTCCCTGGCGACCACACTGGCGCTGCGTAGTTCAAAACCGGCCGGCCTATTGCCTTGTATGTTGCCAGCAACGTTTCTTTGTCTTTGCCCCAAGTACTGCCGGCTAGCGACTTGAGGACCTTGTTGCGGCTCTGTACTTTATTGACAATAGCGGTTGAGTGCGCAGAGA